AGTGAGGACGTTTACCAGACGATATACGTGAAATGTGAAATTCAAGGGACCTGAGGAATTCAGGCGAAAAAAGAATAAGCAAAGCCAACTGGTCGTTCGACATTACAAATTCTAAGGAAATGAAACAAGAACAAATTAATCACAAAGCTGTCCAATCAAGTTAACGTGTCAATGTACAGATCATGACTTAGATAGTAAAGAAAGCTCCTCCATATAAATAATAAGTATTTTTTCGAATGGTTGGATGACGAGTGAAAAGGTCAACTCCTTTGTTAGCAGCCAGAAGGCCTTGACGAACGCACACTGGAAACTAATTGAAATCAATCCCTTTGCAGTCATATAAATATACGCATTCGAGTGGTGATAATTACTACGCGTGATGCTACCAAAGATCGGAAAAATTCACTTCACAAGCAAGATACGAGCAGAAGAAAGTTATTTTGGTCAACAATAGCTCGTGAACACCATAATAAGTATTAGATACTGTTTGAATGCGAGCTGCCGAACTACAGTGGGACAAGAAAAAGCCCTTCGCCATCTCTGATAACTCCAAGAAAGAAAGGGGGAATTAGCGGGGAGTATCTTGTGGTGATTTACGAGTATAACTATTGATCTTTGTTTTTTCGCATCAAAAATCACGATTGGTTTTAAAGCGGGTTTAATGAACAATGCGTTACGGTTAATAGGGTCGTTTGTAATGTGCTCGTACGAGTCGGTTAGTCGTGTTGTAGTTATATTTTTGACTATTGAGCATTTTATTAATCATCGTACCTTTTTCCTCGTTATGCTATGTATATTAAAACCACTTCTTAGCATTAAGATGGATTCAAATCAGTAAATAATGTTTCACTTATAACATTGCATCAAATGTCATTCATTTGTGAGAAAATATTGTCTGTTTCAATGGATTTCCACATGAAGTTGTATTTAAAGCCTTATGATGCTCCATAAGGTTTGACAACAGACAGGAGAGTAATCTGAGTAAATTTCAAGCGGTGTGTAGTTGTGTAGTCTTATTTTGTTATTGTTGTTGCAAATCAGCTCCTGTAAATAAAAGTGAGACCACTGCAAAATTATGTTGGATGGGTTTTTATTATTTTGCTGTAGTTTTTTATTAAGTACTATCTATTCTTTTTTGTATGTCTCCGTGATGTGAAAATGCGCGATTTTCCTCTCGTCACTTTGATTCCAGTTTTTCACTGTGTCAAAAGGGATAGATAGAAGTGAATTAGACTAATGGAACAATCTTAAACAATTAAGCAGAACTGGCAATACTAACCCTTGTTAAATCTTTATTTAGAGGATTAATTATTTCGATTAATGGCAAGTCCTTATATAGTTGTCTAACGAAGATGAAAATCTGTGAAATGTGCTGTTATCGTATGGTGTAGCAGAGTTATGTAGCTTTTTATATCAGCATACCATTTGGTGAATAAATAAATAAAAAAGTAAGCAAGACGAAATGCAACTCATCAGTCGTAGATTGCCACAAAAGAAAACTTTGGAAAGACAGAGATTTCCATTGTCATTAAAACAGGAATTCTGTAGTAATTTATTGTACTTGGAAATATTAATATACCGGGATGACGGAATTATAGGAATCTAATCAAAACCCAGAGAGGGCAGCAATCAGTAATTTGTATTTAGCGGAATTAGAATGCAATTCATATATGAAACATATCAACAGTCAACAGTAAGTATTTAAACAATACAGAGATAGAAATTGTCAATCACCACATCCGCCACACCTCGAATATCTCCTCGCGTATTTATAACGATGTCTCGGTTTGCTTGCAAGTAGCTTCGACCTAACTGATTCTGTGATATTATTTTCATCAGTATTATCTGGAATTATCTACAAAATCAGGATTATTAGCGGAATCAATAATATTATAATTGGAACGACCTACTTCATTTATTGTCACTTTGTCCAGGTGTCCGTTATGAACTGAGTGATCTTTGATGTCTAATATCTTCACCACTCGATTTCCCATTTTTTGTAGTATAATTCCAACAGAAGGTCTGTAGTTATTATCTTTGTAATAATGTACATTAGAAGTAGTGGACATCAGATGCTTTTTGAGAATTCGAGATTTGAATAGTTTTGCAGGACTTTCACAAGAACTTGTATGCTCTGGATTCACCAGACGTAGTCTATGCATATGCAGTAATTCCTCAATTTTATTCAGTTGCTCTCTCATCTCATTCAGGTCTTTTCGTGCTTTCGACAGTTCACATTGCAACTTGGCTACCTCATTTTTGAATACAGTTGATACTTGCGTTGCTGAACTTGCAGTGGAGGTTTTCGTTGGATTAGCTTGAGTATTTTGAAAAGTTGAAAGACACATAGACTCCATTTTACTAGACAGCTTGGGAGAATTATAAGAATGTTGAGCAACATAAGTATTCGAACTTCTGCAAACCGTCTTGATGTGTCCAACTTTACCACATTTATAGCACTTAGCACTCCGAAAACGGCAAGTGCTTCGTAGATGTAACTTTCCACAGGATAAACACGGTTTAATGTTTTTGATCTCTCGCTGCATTCTATTACCTGTGGACGGCAGTTTGGATTTCTTTCCATGAACACTTGTATTTTCGACTTTGGACAGCATGACATCAGATACTGACGTAGTGGGAGCAGAGTATTCATTATTGACATCTTCATATGTAATGCATACATCTTTAGCAGTTTGAAACGTACAAGAAGGAATCTGAATTAACTCCTTCTCTAATTTAGGAATGTTGATTCCAGCAATTAGACGATCACGTAGTTGTGTATGCAGCTGATCTCCAAAATTACACTTTGAGGCTTGAATTTGAAGTTGAAGAATAAAGTCTCTAATCTTCTGATTGGGAGAACGTACCAGTTTGTTGAAGTGAGCCCTCTCTCTGGTCTCAAAAGTAGTTACATGGAAGTGATCTATAAGAAGTTCACGGAGCTTAGCATATGGCATAGAAATGGGTTTATCTGGAAACGCCAGATTCTTCACCAGGCTATATGCATCAAGACCAATAGCGGTGATGAAATGAGCAGGTATTTTATCATCCCGAACATTCTTGGAAATGCACCACGCATCAAAGCATTCCAAATAATCAGCAATCTCCCGCGGAGAACCATTAAGAGGAAATTTTCCCAGGTTACTTAGCTCCATCGCGACGCCAATTTGTAGTAATTTATTGTACTTGGAAATATTAATATACCGGGATGACGGAATTATAGGAATCTAATCAAAACCCAGAGAGGGCAGCAATCAGTAATTTGTATTTAGCGGAATTAGAATGCAATTCATATATGAAACATATCAACAGTCAACAGTAAGTATTTAAACAATACAGAGATAGAAATTGTCAATCACCACAAATTCGCAGTCAGTATAATCGAGTCTTTTCAACCGACTCTAAATCATACTAACTGACGTTTTCAACCATGGGTTTGAATTATCGTGAGCTTTCGACCAAAGAACTCGAATTTCCTCACACAACTTAGTATTTTTGGCAGTGACTTCAGGGATTGTCATCACATCAAAACTTTGCCATATTAGCTGTTTTCTATGAAGCAACGCGTATGGTCCACAAGTGGATAACGGGGCATAAAATTCGACTTTTGTCCTCTCTAACACTCAGTACTTAACCTTTGTTATTCACTAGCAACGCTACGATATTAGCAGTAATCAAACATTTGAAGCCTTTTCAGATCTGCATTGATCATGTGTTTCATAACAACTATGTAGATCTACTGAAATCGATTTTCAGAGTTTACGTGAGCTCTAATTTAGTAAGTGCAAAAAGAACGTTCTTCCCCATTGAAATTTGCCATTTAGCAACTCAATACTGTGCTCAATCACTTGACTTTCTGTATTCAGATGGTGTAAACACAGTATTTTTAGTGTAACGCTTTTACACTTTAATGGCGAGAAATGCAGGGAAAATATTTTTAAATACATACTATCCTGAAGGTTAAATCTTGTCATCATCTCTACTGCATAGAACTGTCACATATTTACTTCAAGTGAATCATTTTCTGTGATAATTCTGATTAAAAATCAAGGTACTATGGGTACAGACATTACTTAGTGTAGATGATTATAAAGTTACACAGAAGCTATATTCATGTCGTGGAGCTTAGTGGTGAACCATACCGATTTCTTGAGGACTACACGCCTGTTCAGACTTGAAACTCATGGCTCAGTGATAGAATTTCAACTGTGTACAAATGAGTGTAAATGTTATAGCTAACTTTTGCCATTGGTTTTCACACTACGTGTAACTACGTCTTGCTGTTTCTGTGGAACTTTTTCAGAGAAAATACAATAATTGGGGTGATTATTTTGTCAATCCTATTAATTATATTTCGTCTCCTGGTCAAACGTAGCAAATATTGCATACCTACGATTCTTCTCAATTCATACTAAGAAACATTCATCTCAAGGCAATGCAATTAGAAAAATTGCGAGATAGTGATTTAAAGAATATCTAGGGATTCACATTTTACGTTTTAATTTTGTCGTTTGTCAATTAGTGCTCCGAGACTGTATATATATATATATATATATATATATTTAGTGGCAGTCATACGTTCAATAAATCTCGTAGTCTCTTTCAACTTCACTACCAGTGATCTTTCATCAAAAGTATGGGGATTTTAGTGAAAATTTTATGATCGATACTAACTTTAGTAATAGCAAGAAACAAGGGTCCAACAGTTATATGCTTTAATCCGTTGGATTACAATATAAGTGTACATTCATTTTGTATGAATTAAACCATTTAAAAAAGTTATGCTCGTGATACTTGAATAAAATTTGAATGGCAAAACCTGAGTATCTAACAAATTCATTTATGAATAAGGAAATAAACTGCTTGACCGTGGTCAAATATAGTTTCATACTTTTAAAGTTTTCTTCTCTATTGTCTTTTTATTTAGTGCTGTTGACCACCACTGACATGCTATCTACAAATGCATGATCATTTAATGCAGATATAGAATTATAACTGAAATGCGTCCATATTATACTTCATCGTCTGTTCCATCCTCGCCTATTACTATTAATACATTTCATTGTTTACAACCAAATTCATCGTCATTCCAACCAAAATACTTCCAGTCATCATCTCCACAGTATGATCTGTCGAAACAAAAACCAAGTGAACCGTATAACAGTATAACTTACAACCGAAATCATCCTTATCAAAATGTAAATCATACAAATTTATCTTCTGGTCAACATTTCTCCAGTCCATCAGGTCATCATTTCAGTAATTATTCACAATCGTCAAATATTCAGGCATCCACACCAAATCATCCCCATCAATATTATCGCAATACGTTTACAAATTCACAGCCAAATATTGCCAATGATTCATCTGTGAGTTAAGCGTATTAAGTTTACAATTTTTTTGTTTTCGAAATTTCCTGAGGTTAACCAGTAGCCTTAAAGTGGGATATGACGGCTTATAACTTCAAAATTACTGCTGAGATTAGAATAAGAGTTTAACGGCTTTCTTTAACTTTCGTAGTGGTAGTGTTAGGTCGGTAACAAGTGGGGCTGAGAAATTTTTATATATACCGATTAATCGCTTGATAGAAAAAGCTATGATAAATTGAACTGTTGCTGAGGCGGAAGAGAAATATACGTACTAGTATTACTGTTATTATTATTATTATTATTATCAGAACACAAAATTGGTACATTATGGGCACCAAATGATGCTCCAAACAATATCGCATAGTCTGTTCAAGGGCCCGAATACTCCACAGACACCTACACTGAAGTGAGTGGTTGTCTTGAGGAGCCACCTGCCCCTTGAACGTTTGACTTGAAGTTTTATTCACAAGGGAGTGGATCAGCGTCATCAACTATTTTTCCATGTTTTCCGGTCACCAAAAGAGTCCATACGCCGTTCGATTCTTTCAGATTCTGGAGCCCATGTATACTATAAGTTTGGTTCGCCTACGTAGACCAGCATGTCCATCAGTCCGGTTTAAGAGCCACACGTCCGCATTCGCCTCCTAACTTTTGTGAGGCACAACTAGTGAATAGGACTAACCCATGAATTATGTATCTTGTATAGTTTACACTTCGCTTAGTCCTTCTCTAAGTTGAATTCTGTAGAAGTTGTCTTAAGGTCGGTTGCGGTGTCATCCATTTATCAATACCTCATCATTACCTATGCGTTAAATATCACAAATTTTCACTTTATTTATTCTGCACTTTTATCTCACAGAGTTTGAGAATCACTAATATCAGACACATTTTTCGATTTTTGTTTCATCGTAGTTCCTTTCTGTTGATATGTGGTATAAAAACTGCCACATAAGATTGCTAATGGTTGTATTGTTTACATCTGTCTATCAGTCAGTTGATATTTCTTCCAGCATTGCTTTAAAGTGCTAAGGAAAATGGAAGAAATATGTTTTAGTTTTCCCTTAGTCAAAAGTTTCCACTGTTTGACTCAAGTGAACTGTACACTGCCTCAGAATGAAGCTATGGAAATTAGTTCGATTTAGTGAAACACTCTAAGATTAACTTCATATAAGCGAATAATAATTTTTTTTATAAAATTAAGCCTTCGGTTTTGTGGGGCTAGTTTACTTACACCAAGTGTGTGCGTGTGTGTCTGCCTGTGATGTGATCCCACAGTTTGCTGTGCAATCAATCGCACATCATTGTTTTCAAGTTTTGACTCTACCTACAAAGGTTTATCGCGGAGATGTGGCCCATTGGCGTAATTATTTGGTTTTCAACCGATAGGTCACGGGTTCAGTTTAGGCAACTGAACAGTATCATCAGCCGTCACATGATAAGTTTGTCTCTCTTAGCCTGGCACATAAAAAATCTATTCCGGGTAACAGTTCAAATAACGGAGGTCCAAGTGACCAAGCAGGATTAATATATGCTGCTGAGGAATAGGAATACTGAGAAGGACAAACTCTAAGTCAAATAGGGTCCCTTATCAATCGACTCCTAAATGTTCATTGGCTTACTCTATTAAATGACGGTGTACTGCAGTATTATGTCTCTGTGTTTACTACCTATCTATCACCTAAATGATTGATTGGTAGATTTCAATCAATGCTTAGGAGTATATGACGACATTTGTTATACTATCCTCTAACAACTCATTCGCGTTCATACTCGTTCTTACAGTCAAATAATATGTGTGTGTCATCTGTTCTGACAGCTTGTTCATTACTCACTTATCGTATCGTCACTATAATATCCAAAAATCCAAAATATCCAACTATATCTATTTGATTGTCAAAAACTCTCCAACTTTTAGAATGCTGATTCACTGTGATGTAGTTTGGTTATTGTTCACCATTTTTTTCATATACCAAATTTCATCTTTGTTTTAGTATGATTTAGTACTTGGTACCGATATTTTTTGACAAACACTTCTTCTTCTTCTTCTCAAAACCAATTATTTATCCCGTCTTCATGCGACTGGAGTGTTCCGCACAAAACTGAGATGGTGAAAGCAAATGTCTAGCTCTTAAACCGGACTGATGGACATGCTGGTCTACGTAGGCGAACCAAACTTATAGTATACATGGGCTCCAGAATCTGAAAGAATCGAACGGCGTATGGACTCTTTTGGTGACCGGAAAACATGGAAAAATAGTTGATGACGCTGGTCCACTCCCTTGTGAATAAAACTTCAAGTCGAACGTTCAAGGGGCAGGTGGCTCCTCAAGACAACCACTCACTTCAGTGTAGGTGTCTGTGGAGTATTCGGGCCCTTGAACAGACTATGCGATATTGTTTGGAGCATCATTTGGTGCCCATAATGTACCAAGTTTGTGTTTTGTTAGTAATAATAAACGTGTTTGATTATCTAATTGGATCCGAAGTAGGCACCTACCTATTGACCTTGACATTGGGTTAAACGTAACTTGAGAGAGATGCAGTTCATTCGGCGTAGGCGTTCAACGTGAGATTCTTGGGTGACGGGTTCTGTTATAACTGAACTAAAATGAACAAACCCCGTCGCTACCTTGTTATGTCAGTGCCTGTTAATTACTATAATGGTAATAAACTTGACTGGTACGCTAATACGTCTGTTTGTCCGTTGTACTTTCCGATTCACTGAGCCACGCGAATATCAAATGACAAAGACTGACCTGTGACTGTAAGATATTGTATTGTACATCTATTATATACTAAATTTACCACGATACTGTTGGCTCACGACCGTGGGAATGGACTGTTCTTATTTGCTGGAAATGGTTATTCTCATTGTTTGGTGATCCGACAAAAACTAAGGTGAAACAAAAGACGATGAATTGATCATACACACTAAACCACAATATGCGTGAGAAATGACACATTCACATATTAACTCGATCACAAGATAAATCACACGATTCGTGTGAAAGGATGATATAATATTTTATGTCGGGTCTTATCAGGTTCTAATCCCGCTCCAACCACTAACGCCTGAGCAGACATGTAATATCAACAGTCATAACATAACAGGTGTGCCTTATTCTCAACTGAATGGAATTATAAAAAGCTTTTAAGTAACCTTTTTCTTTTCGATTATAACTTGTAACTTCTCATTGTTTTATACTGCATTGTATTGAGCTGATTATTTCCTGTTGCCATATGGACAATAGGCAGGCTAATCATCAGTAAGACTGTGAATGCTGACAGTCTGAAGCCACTGGGATATATATTACACATGATAGGTCATTGTTAACTGATTTAGGACGAAGCTCAGAAAGAGGTAGGAGAGTTATCTTAAAACTTAACATCAACCCATAGCGTTAGTGATTTTTGGTTTAAGCCACATATGTAAATATACTTTATATAGCTGGGGGTATAAGTCTAGAACTGTTGTTTGGAGACTGTGTTACTGGATCTAAGATTGTTAACAATTGTGCAGGCATGGTTGTTTATTCCAAATTCTTCAAAATTTCAGACGTTTTCACCAATCATTCGGTGTTTGGATGTCTTATTCTCATAACTGATCGTTTTCTGTACAAAATCTCTCTTCCTCGTGTTTCCAGTGAAACAGTAGCAACTCTCCATTTCACTGTGTTTTATTTGCAGTCCTTGTAAGCTGGCTCCACGATTGCCCACTGGGTTTCATCCTCTTCTTACACTATCTCCTTCATGTTACTTTCGGACCAACACCCAAGTCATTGTTTCGGGTTCAGGTCCCACTCGACCTCTTGACTGGCGTGCAAAGTCACGCATCAATCTCCTCAGTGTGTGTTCGATCCATCCATCTTCGTTTTCTTCGGAATATTTGTTGGACAATAGTTTCTTGGTGACGATTTGTTGCCAAAAGTCCTTGTTGGTAATTGTTTCCATCTGGTGATCTGATCTTTAATATGGGGCGAAGGAAGGTGTTGATAAAAGTTTACAGCCTATTGGAAGTGACTTTGGTGACACACATACCAAGCTTCTGAATCACGTGTAAGGAGTGATTTGACATTAGTGTTGAAAATTCGAATCTAATTCTTTATCCTGAATTCAGGTGATTTCAGATTGATGAATGAATGTGTGTCTTACTTTCGATATTCTCATCTGCGTCGGCTGTAGTTGAAAAAATAAGTTGGTTAGTTAGTTAATTAGTTAGTACTCAGTTGTCTGTCTGTGGACGATGAGCAACCCCCATTGTGTGTAATGGCTGACGACACTGCCCACTTAGCCCCTACCTTTCCAGATTGAAGTAGATGTAGCGGGAGTTGAATCTATCTGTGGCGATAGCTAAAAGTTGAGTGTTTAATTCAATGATCCGCATCTCCTCCAGCTTCAATGCTTAGTAGTCTACTGTGACTGTGTTCCGGAAAGCCAATTATTAATCACTTCTCCGTTTCTATTGTATAACCAACATTTTCAGTATTTCCTAATTCATTCTCGTTAGTAAATTATGTAAAACATTACTGTCTGTCTGTCTGTTTTCGACATAGAACTTTGCACAAATGTGCGGAAGTTCAAGTCGCCACACTCCGTGTAGCATGCGAAGCAAGAGAAGAAAGTACAAGAAAAGCATAATAGAAACAGTGAGCAGAGGTGTGAGACAAAGGAGTAATAAAGAAATACAAAACAGTTTCATTGGAGATCATAAGTCACAAGGAGTGGATGCATCTGCGCTAGCCACTGAGAACGATTTTGAGCTATGTCACCAATTGTTTCCAACCATAGATTTTTACCGTCCCGAGGACCCTAGCCTGGAAGTCTGGGGTAAACATTACTAAATAAATATCAGTTTGATTTCAATTATAAGTCGAATTATTTAAAGCATTGTTTATATGTATATAACTTTGAAACCTTTGGGGAAAATAATTATCCACTTAAATATTAAGTGTAAAGAAAAAAACTGAGTTAGAATTTCATGAAATACTTTCAAAATTACA